TGCTACCGCAGGTGCTACGTTTTGCAAGTTGTCGATCACTCGCTGCTGACGGTTTTGATTTTCATTCAACTCTTTTAGCTGCTGCATAATGCTAGCGAGCTGGTGAGTTAATTGCTCCATTTCTGAAGATATTTCGAGGTTTTCAATTAAGGGTAATGGAAACCTAATTGGTATGTGAGAATGCTCTCCTGATTCGTGGGAAGAATCGCTCTCTTCTGAATCAGAAGATTCTGATCTGGAGAATAGTTTTCTTGCTCTTTTCAAAGCACTAATCTCACGTTTGAATTTTGGCATTCAGGGGGTGATTTATTATTTAGAATCAGACGTTCTCTTAGAACTCGTCTGAATCTTCCAAAATAGCAATTCTCTAAGAACTTTGCTAATTCTGGTTAGGAAAAAAGCTTCTCTAAGAACGGCCTTATTCCTTACGACAAGTTGAACTGACTTTTACGGTACACCTCTCTCTCAGAACGGGTATAACGTACAAATCGATTTTAATTTGTCGTGCGATGAGAACACAAAAGAGGTACTCACCTTGGTTGCTGTCGTGTGTCGCGGGTTCCTCTGTTGTCTGGTGACGTGCGGCGAAGCCTCTACTCCAACCACCACTCGGATGAAATCGGATGTTTTCACTTCTCACTGTGTTACTCGCGGGCCTACTTTAATTCGGATTTACGAATCCGTATTTTTGCACTGTTTTTCACGCACTTTTCAACAAAGACCGGACGGCTGCGCCAATTACGAGACGGTTCTCATAATGATTATAAAAAAAACTTTTATTGCACTAAACCATTTGATTACACTTCTCACTTAATGTTAAAACTGAACTGACTGAATTTTGCCTCAGCGGTCATACTTATGCCCTACTTCTGCTAGCACTGCATAATTCTAATTTCTGCTGACGCTTGATGCTCGATGAACTGGAGTGGTTGCGTGGTCCGATGTGTTGCTACGCGGTGCATTGATGACACCGCTAGTTTATATGGAAATGTGTTCCGTGATTATAAGAAAAGGAAATAATTAATTCTTTGGATGTACGATAAAAAGGGAATATTCCCTTCTTTTAATATAGAAGGAAAATATATAATCAATAGTTTTTCGCAAGGGATACGGGGGTGTCCACGTTGAAATTGCGACACACAAAATTGATTCGCAAAATTCGAGTTTTCATCCGATTGCCATCAAATTTCCAGGGATTGAGAAATAACTATTAAACTTCATTTTACCATTTTACTCGTATTTTATTTACAGTCCATACGCAAATGCCCGCACCTTGGCCTTAACCCCGGCTATAAGATTCTGCACAACCTGTGAATCAACCGTTTTTTGCATGTAAACCCATACTTTCTTCAGTTCCTCGACTGTCTTCACTACCTTAGGTCGTTTAATAAGGTGCTGCTTCATAATCGCCCAGTACTTCTCGATGGGGCGGAGCTCCGGAGTGTTGGGAGGGTTGAACATTTTCGGCACGAAATTGATCTTATTGTCCGCATACCACTTCAGCACGTCCTTGGAGTAGTGGCATGAGGCCAAATCCGGCCAGAAGATTGTTGGGACGTTGTGGGCCTTCAGGAGAGGAAGCAGCCGCTTCTGGAGGCACTCTTTTATGTACACCTGTCCGTTCATCGTGTCCTGGGTCACGAAAGGTGCACTCCGCTTCCCGCACGTGCAGATGGCTTGCCAAACCAGGAATTTCTTCGCAAATTTGGACATCTTCTGAGTGCGGACATGCTCCGGAACGCTGAACTTATCCTTGGCCGTGAAAAACAGGTTGCCGGGGATCTGTTTGAAGTCGGCCTTCACATATGTTTCGTCGTCCATGATGCAGCATTCAACTTTCGTCAGCATGCTGAGGTACAACTTCCTGGCACGGGTTTTGGCGGACTTATTCTGCTTCTCGTCGCGATTAGGGGCCTTTTGTACCTTGAACGTTCGAAGCCCAGCCTTAGTTTTGGCCTTCTGGACAAAACTTCGGCTTAGGTGCAGCTTCTTAGCCACATCCCTAACGGAGGCGTTCGGATTTCGGTTGAAGGCCCCAACTACGCGGTTGTGATTTTTGGTGTTGTACGGAATACTTTTTCCTTCACTTCTGGGCTTCCGATCGGTGGTCAACCGTTCCTCGAACCGCTTAATCACTCGCGACACCGTGGAATTCGCGATTCCCAACGTTTTAGCGATGGAACGATGCGAGAGATCCTTGTTCTCGTGATGAATGCGCAAGATTTTATCACGCACGAGCTGTTCTTTCGACTCCATTTCCGCGAGTTTTGATCACAGGACTTTAAAACTTGCAGGATGTAAATAATGCACTATGAACCAAATCCACCCAAATTTTCATTAAATTCTACCCAACGGTTAAAAAGTTAGAGCAATTTCATAGTGTGGCAATTTCATCGTGGACACCCTTTAATGCCCATTTTTGTCATAGAAAAAGGTTGTGTTAGATCATGTTCGTAAAACAAATTCATGAAAGAAGGATACATATGTGGTAATATAGTAACAGGTTTCCTAATGACTACTGACTACTGATATTAGGCAGAATATAACTTTACAACAAACACGTGTGGGTCGAATTAGGATTTATCCCAGGCTACTATTGTAGAAAAACGTAATTGATAGATATTGGGCGGAACGCGTCGGAATGTTTAGAAAAATAGGGCGCACGCTTGATCCGGTTTAAGATACATTGTTGACTGCTTTCGGGAACGTGATTTCATTTTAATAACTTGTTTACTTGTTTAACCATTGAACGTCGCGTGAAAGTGGAACTTAATGAAGGCATCAGTGCTTTTTCGTAACTTTTAGTTTTCGGATTAGAAAAATCATCGGTTGCAGGACAGTGTTACCGATTTATATTGGATAATCCAAAGCTATGTTGATCATTATAACATTAAATTTTGAATAACAAATGATAAGACAATCTTATTCAAATGTCGTAATAATACCTCTGACCAAGGAAAAATGATTTATATAGTTTTCATAAAAGTTGACGATACAAATACTAATGAGGAAAGGAATTCCGCATTTCCTTTTCCCAAGTCCTTTTCCTCTCCTTCCCTTCCCTTCTTCTCTTTTCAGAAAGCGAGTAATGGCGCTATAACCATATGCCATATAGGGCTAGGACAAGAGTTAGTGCTCAGGTCCCAACCGCTAGAAGAAAATGGTAGCGAGCAAGGGCGCTATAACCTAGGCGAATACAGCATTCCCTCCGTATAGGTTACGTCCGCACACCGCTCTCTGTTGTCCTTCGACTGAGGTCGGCTGGATCGATTGAGGGATGGCAGTGGGTTGGCGGTGCCGTCCACGCTTGTACGGAGGGAGGACTGTACGCTCGAACACAAGGGGTAAATACCTGTGTTCCATCCCAGGAGATCGGACAACCAAGGAGTGTACATTAACTTTCTTAGCTCTGTCACTCCCAACGATTTATATAGCCTATTTTCAAATCCTGCATACGGAGCGGTTGGTACGGTATGTCCCCGCTCTTTGATTACCTGTGGATTAAATGTTAACCACTGTCTATACTTATTAAGTAGACATGGTAAACATTCACTTCCACAAAAATTAACTAAACGCTACACAGTAGGCCTGGCCGCTTTATTGTTTGTTTCACATCCTTGATGTGCAGCAGGCATTAATAATGACAAGAAAAATGATAGATGTATCATTTTCCAGGATTCTTTCAAGTACTGGCTGTGTATGTGTAGACTAGACTAGACTAGACTAGACTAGGGATACGGGGTAATGCCCATTTGGGATAATAACGTGTGAAATAATGTTATAAATTTGTAATCGGTAGTTCAACGTTCCATGCACCGATATTTTTAATCCATCACGAGAAATTCTTCAACTCAGGTTGAACAATTCTTCGATAAGGTTTAACAGTTTCCGACTGGTTGAATTGGATTGCATAATAAACCCTTTGACTTTTAAAATCATGAACGAATGGCTCGAAAACTTGAAGGTTGTCTTTTTCTAAAGAGCTATAAAATGGTTTGGAAATACATAGTTCCATAAAAGTAATGAATAAGATATGCATATTAAGCTGTTCTGTAATATAAAACTGAAATATAATATCAAATAACAAAAAAAAAAAAAAAAATGTGGCAAATTACTAATTTTATCATCTTTTCTGGGGAATGGTACATTCTGGGGAATAGTATTCTGGGGAATGTTATAGAATCATTTTCATATCATTTTGGATTTCCTGTTCTGCCATGTTATATTTGAATTAGGAGGAACTATAGAAAACAGATTTTTTTTTATAAAAACTATTACGTTTGTGGTATTCCGCTTGATGGTTTACCCGGAATTTATCAAAAGTCAAGAATCTGTTGCTTTGATCCTTTTGATCAACATTAAATAAAACCAATGTTCTTCCTTGAAAGGATGAAAAAACTTATGAGCGAAATGTCTTGTTGATAACCCGAGTGTTACACAAAATAAAATCAATGTTTATTTCTCCTGTTATGCATTACTGTCAAAAATCACGGCTTCAAAGAAGTATAAAACTAAAACCTAAGAAGCAATGTAAACGTTTGAAATGTACGGTTTGGGTGCGATGTAAAACAAATTTAGAATATTTTTTTTGATTTACCCCCCCTCGACTGGTGGCGAGCATTGAGTGACAAATGAAAAACTTGTGATTTGTACCGGCCTTATTATTCAAAAACAAGCAGCTCGAATCAGGGACCACATTTCGCAGCTCAAAACGATCTTTGTTTGTACCAACGCTTGTATGAAAAAGTTTTCGCTTCGACCTACGCAATGTGGCCCCAGTTTGACAGACCATTTTTTGACATACAATCGCGACTAAGTCCGAAGAAAATCGAATGAGGTTGAGCTGCGTCATTGATCAGACCTGGTATGTTGATACAACAATTATGAAAATTGCCCAGGATGAGTTGCAGCCACAGACAATTTGTTCGGAATAATTCGCATAATGGTTAGAAGTATCATAACTCTTGATCAATCATCATAGGTTCTAGCACCTATTTTAGTGAACCCCGGTGCCAATACGATCGTCCGCCGTTCGGATCAATCCAGCGTGACGATCCCGTACGAGCGAACGTTCCGTGCCGTTGGAACGAGCTCCACGCCCACCAACGCCAACGCACTGGCTCAGTTCCGATTCTGCGGTTGCGGATGGCCACAGCACATGCTCATACCGAAGGGAGCCACTGGTGATGGCGTCCAGTTCGACATCTTTGCCATGGTTTCGGACTATACCATCGATGCGGTCAACCAAACCCAGGATCCGTAAGTTCTATTCAAATTTCTCGATCAATCAAACTCTAACGGAAGCATTTCACCCCACAGCGCTGCCCCATGTGACGACGCTCACTCGTTCTGCGGTTTGCGCGATAAGCTCTATCCGGATACTCGAGCCATGGGCTACCCCTTCGATCGGAGCACCGAGGCAACCGTGGAAACTTTGCAGGACTTTGTCAGCCCCAATGCGAACATGGGGACTGGAACCATCCGGGTTAGATTCAGCAATACCGTCATCGCACGCACTTGAATTCTTTTCTAGTAAATGAAAAAGCCATAAAGGTTTGTAAGCTCAAAATCAAGTTTAAATAAATCGATTCAACTTAATCTTTAACATGGTTCTCATTTTGTAATCAATCACTTTACTGTTTCACTTAGCACTTTTGATAAAGCATTTGGATCAATCTCCCACTGTTCGTTGATGGGCAGCCAGGATGTGAAGGCCGATATGGGGTTTTGGTTTGGCTGATCCCGGTACGATGGAGCGTTGACAATTTTATTCAATGTGTTCACCAGTATGCCGATTGATTGTCCGGGTTGATAAGAGTTGTGTTTATCGTCGTATGTTGAGTCCGTCAGTAGAACGGACGGCACCCAAACTAGCCACAGCAACGTTACGATAAGATGCATGACCGCAAAGATTGAACCACAAAGTTAGACTGAGTGTTTTGTTGGTTCTTTTTTTTAACGTAGGCTTAATTTGGTTCAGCTTAATCAGCTGTTGCTTTTAACACTATTGAGAACATACCCGAGGCATGCACCTCGTTGCTCTATGTTTTGTGGTAAATTGAGGAATATGCAGCAGAGTATACTCTTACTGGGAACGGTGACAACATTTGAATTTATTTACATTTGTTCGTTTAGTTTCAACGATTTCAAAGCTTCCTTTGAAAAAAAATGTTCAAACATTTATCAATTGTGAAATATTTGTTTTTGATTGAGGGCAGTGTTCGGAAAATTTCCTTCATTGAGCCCTCCTGAGAGAATTTACTCCCGTGTGAATTTACCATTGAGATTATCATGCATATCCACGCACTCATACTCATCACAATGCCAAAAAACTCGTTCCAGATTAAAACTTATAAATAACACCCAAACATCAATTGATAGCATGCTCAAGTATGTTTGGTTAGTTTTCCAATGTCAGAAAGTTTGTGATCCAGAAATCTCATCGGTAATTATTGCGCAGCTGAGGAGCAAGGCAAAGCTCATTGGTCAATAATCTCACATACGAGATTTGACTTTTTGAGATTTTCCGAACACTGATTGAGGAAAAATCTACTTAAAGAAACTGATTATTCTATTATATCGGGAGATTTTATTTCAAATTTAATAATTGACTATATCTTAAAAAGTTGGTAAATAAATCCCTGTTTTGCTAAAAAGTGCTTGGGTTTTTTTTTATAATAGGCAGTTTTATTTAATGTACACTGTACAATAGACTGATGTAAAATTTGAAATTTTTGCTCCACAGTGCTCAAACTGTTCCAAATTGGACCCTGATTAGCCTCCCAAAATTTGAACTCATTTAGTGAAAAACTGACTTGGCACAAACTATTTAAAGTTTATATGGGAATTACTATGGAGAAACAATAATTTCGGTTCATATCTATCTCAATATTCACCAGTTCACTCTACTTTAGAAAACGATAGCTGAGCTTATTGAAAATTTTCTCAGCTACAACTTTGTTAAAGATTACTTTTCGATCAAATGTAAGAAACAAAAATTAATAGTGATTCAAGTCACTGATGTCTTATGATAATGCTCAATCAACTGTTCAGCAGGCAACATTAGTGATTATGGCGCGTAGAATAGAGGACAAAAATCATGGCTACTATGTCACACTGCAGAATACAGTGTTGCCCACAATACAGTTGCTTAATCTTACCATAAGATTATCAATCTCTTAAACAATTTTTTTTTTTTTTTTCCTTGGATTTGTTTTCCGTCGATCTTGTTTTCCGTGCTGAGCACCAATGCTACCGACGCCAGGAAGGCAGCTCCCACACCTGGACCCTACCTATCGACCCACCAACTCATGAACCGGGGACCAACGGCTTTACTTCCCTTCCGAAGGAAGACGTGATCAGAGATGTTTTGCCTCAGAACATCCCGGCGGCGCCGACTGGGATTGAACCCAGGCCTGCTGGGGTGAGAGGCAATCACGCTTACCACTACACCACCGGCGCCGCTATTCTCTTAAACAATTAATAACTATTTAATTTGACGTTTGACTGAAAACGATTTTCTGCAAAGTTATAGCTGATAAAAACTCTCATAAGAATAGTAATATAATTTGTTAACAGTACAATATGTAAAAAGGCTAGAAGACAATGAACAAAAAGTGTTGTTTTTTCATAGTAATTTCCATATAAACTTCAAATGCTTTGTGCCAAGTCAGTTTATTATCAAATGAGTTTAAACTTTCGGAGGCTAATCAGGACCCGATTTGAAACCGTTTGAACACTGTAGAGCGAAAATTTCAAATTTTGCATCAGTCTACTGTACAACTTTGTATCAGACGTCATTTAGATTAGATTAGCCGTATATTGCTATGATTTATTGAAAAATCCTGGCATAAACTTGGTTCATTGTCCCTAGTGAACAATTTTGTGATGTTTCGTCAGTTGGCGTGGAACTGCTCCCTTACTGCTTACTGCTTCCGACGAGATGGTTCGAATGCACTCACAACTCGCATGGCCTTCCTGAACGTTCTGTTCAACTTCGCTTGATTCAATTTGGTTTCCGGCACTGAATTCCATGGTGGACCTCCAAACCTAAGTATTGACGAAGGTACGCTAGCCAGAAAATGTATATTGCTTGATTTAGAACTGTTGTAGCATTTTCTCTTTTTCCTACTGTTAAGACGAGGGTGTCAGCAATGACAACAATCTCGTCACCTTTGGCCATCTTAAGCGTCGGCACCCCGTCGTTCCATAGCGTTGGGCTATCACCTGAAGTGATGTGGCCAGAAACTGGCTTTAGTCAAATCTCATGATTCGATTTATAAAATCCTATCCTAATTTATAAGAAGGATTCAATCTTACCATAGGTGGATAAATTTTGGTGTTTTACAAGCAGACAAGTAGAGGCAAATTGCTGTTTTAGCAATAAGGTTCAATTTACTTTGATGCATTTTCGAAAAATTCAAATGCAGTTTTTTTTACGCATCATTTCAGATTGCAAAAAGCTCTGTTGCAATATATCTACTAGCATTAAATTGATCCATAACTTTTTGTGTTGACCATGAATAAGGCAATAACGATAAAATTAATAATTTTTCACTTCTTGCAGTGGATGCATTGGAAAACTTTTCCTTCATGTTTTCTAAAACTTCTTTGAGTTCATTCACTTCGTCAGCCTCAGACTCGAAGTTGAAAAGATTCTTTTTAATACCTTCGTTGATTTCACGGTGCTTCTTTTCGGGGTAGTGGATGTAGTTGAGTTTTCCCACGTCTATCGGTGATACATGGATTCCTGCAATGCCTCGGTTGAATATCTCGATGTTGACTGGTTGAGTGAATTCTATGAAGTAACTGATGTCATTGGTGGTACAGTTGTAAGGCTTTCATAGCTCGGTACGACAGGTACTATCACTGTAGTTGGCATCCTTGAGCTTCCGGCAACATGCTGTTCCTCGTTTGAGATGAAAAGAGCTTGTTTATCAACACGAAGACGGCAAGACGTGCAAATGCGAAAACCAGTATTCAATCATGATGCTTCAGAATATCCAATCGATTTTAATTTCTGGATGGTAATATTCGAAATATTCCTCAGCTCTTTCGAGCACTTGACTTCCTCGAACGGCCGAATGCACCTGATAAAACATGCTCGTTTACTCATGTTGCTTCTTGTATTAAAAATAAAATAAAAATTATAATCTTTAAAAATGATTTAATTGAAATACAACTGAAGGTTATGCTTACCTTTTAACCAAATGCTGTTACACTTATTTCCTATGATAACTTTTTAAGATGTATGCGGTAAAAAGCAATCTTTGTGATCAACTGCTTGTTTTCACCATTCAAACTCATTTAAGTATCAGATCGATAGGTACAATTTCTACATTAGGTACAGACAGATGTTTTTGGTGTTCACTACTGCAGTGTTGAGTATTTGACTTATTACCGTTAAGATCACTGATACAACTATGCAAAATTCAAGACAATGAATAAAAAAGAAAATTAAAAAATCGTCAATTTGAATGGAATTGCTTCTTCAGTAAGGGTCGCTAGTTTGAACTTTTTATCACTTTTATTTAGTTCCAGCTCAATATTCATCAAACGAATTTTTTAGTTTTGTTAGTAACGATAGCTTTTCATGGTATCAGATGTAATGAATCCTAACTTTTCAATAGGGCCTGTGTAGAAAAACACTAATGAAATAAACATACCTATATTGCAAAAACGGCTTGCTTGATTGCTATGGTGTCTTCGGGAAAGCTGTGCAAAATTAAAATGCAATTCTTGAAAAAACATACACGGTTGAAAAACATGTGTTTTAAATAAAAATGTAAAACCGTGAAATTTTCAAAAAAACAAAAAATTACTTTTTTGTTTTTCTGTTTACCATCACCAAACTTTGCCAGTTTATTGCAAACATTATGAACTTCAATGAGGCTTTTTTTATAACATATATATTTTTTTTCATTGAAACAAACGAATTTTTTGCAGTGTATATTTTTAACATTATTTCCAAAATACTATCTACAACTTTACTCAAGACACCAACAAACCGTTTCAGCAATATAAGTTTTTTGACGTAGGACTACGTCTTTGATTTTTATATGGGGGTACACTTTGTGAAAACCGAAAATGGAACATGTAACAAATTAAGAAAGATTTTGAACGATAATAACTCAGCTGCCCCTGGTCTAATTTCAATAATTTTATCACCAATCGATCAGAAATATGGCTACGCATCCGAATGTTGATTTTCAACAAGAAACTATTGAAAAACTGGGAAATTTCCAGCATTGTCTAAAAGCGTCGAATTAACTAACAAATCCACCAATTACCTACATGCATATGCTGCTTCCCCAGCACAGCCGTCAGAGAGTAGTAAGTAGACGAAACAAGTCGAAGTGGAATTCACCTCCGATTCTCGGGCGCGTGCGAATAGGGAGGATGGAATTGCGTAATATTTTGCACACTCATCGCCATACTCAGAACCACACGCTTCCAACGACCACACCACTGTGTGGTGGTGTTCGGTCGTCGAAATTAGTAGCAGAAGTAGCAGTGCTTTTGGCGTGTGGCGTTGAAAATTGTTCTCCAGTAACAACGAAAGGCTGTCTGCAA